GCGGGCTGATCACTTGAGGGCAGGAGTTTGAGACCAGCCTGGCCAACATGTTGAAACTGCGTCTTTATAGCCGGGTGTGGTGGTGTGCGTCTGTAATCCCAGCTACTTGGGAGGCTGAGGCAGGAGAATCGCGTGAACCCGGGAGGCGGAGGTTGCAGTGAGCCGAGATTGCGCTCCTGCTCTCCAGCCTGGGCGGCAGATTGAGAACCGGTCTCAAAAAAAAGAAATTTCCAAATTGTCTGGAATAAGTATATAAAATTTATTTTTTAAAAGGTTATTAAAAACTATAAGAAAATTTTGTTTGCTTTTATCTGATATATAATGTTCCCCATGTTAAATCTTGTTCTTCCCTGGCAATTGCCTTCTTCCCTGGGAATTCTCATTGTTTCAGTGATTGGCATTCTGTGCCAGGAGCAGCAGGATCTAGACGCAACCCCTGGCCTTTTAGTAACACATGTAGATCTGGCCCCGCCCGCCTCCCGGTTGTCTGCACTGATCTGAGTATAGTTAAGTACCTGCGCATGCCCAGAACGCACCAAGCATTCTGCCCTCTGGCAGCCTCCTTCCGACCATCCAGATATCACCTCCTTCAAGAAGCCCTCCCTTTGGGGAGGTAGCCCCGCCCTTTGGGAGCACAAAACCCTTTTTGCTCCCAAAGCCCTACGGCTTTATCATGTGCTGATGCTACTCTCTGCTTGTTCGCTGGCCGAGCAGGCCGGTGAACACTTTGCAGGAGGGGGCTTTGTCATAATCTTCTTTGTAGTCCCAGCCCTAGCTCAGCAGCGGAGCCCCTCAAACCTCGGGAACTCCTCCCTGCAAAGGAGCCAGGACGCCCTCCCTCAGGCTGCCTTTAACCAGGGCAGAGTGACAGAGGACCTCCACAGAGTTAGCGGTCACTGCCTTAGCAGTTAGGCCTCGGGGCCCGGGCAGGCACAGCTGGCGGGACTCGGCGCAGGCTGGCGCTGGCGCTTGTGTAGCCGCCTCACAGCTGCAAGCGGACTGTAAGCGCGCGCGCGGTCGCCATGGCAGCGCAGCCGCCGCGGCCAGTGGGTGAGAGGAGCATGGGGAGCCCCCGGGAGGCCGCCCGTGCGCCGGCCAGGTCCCCGGATTGGGCCCCCACTCAGGCCCGTACTCCGGGCGCGGCCCTGGTGGGCCAGCGCGGTAAGAAGTAGGGAGCCCGTCTGCGCTGCCTGGCTCGGACGAAACGCGCGAGGGGCGCCGGGGTCCCACGGCCGGAGTCCTAGCAGCCCGCCAGCCCAAGGGGCGCGGAGGGAGAGTGCCCCTGGGAACCCCATCTGTGACCAGAGGTTTGGGGCGCCCCGAAACGAGGGCAGGAGAGGAGTCCCCGCCGTTTGTGCGATAGGTTGTGCAGATGGTGTCTGTCGCCGTGCTCTCGAGATCTCCAGGGTCTCCCTCCGGGAGGGTGTGGCTGGGGGGCTCTTCTCAGACCCCTTTTTGTGAAAGTCCCAGAGAGCAGGTCACAGGTGGGCATGAGGGTCTTGATACCGTTTCTGACTTTGCACCTCTGTACTGTTTCCATTTTAAATATTTCTGCGCCCATGAATGATCTTTAGCGAGTTAAGCATACCCTGAAGGGCCATCCCTTACACGCCGTTTCCGTTTTATATGCTTGTTTTAAAGTATGTTTGTGGATACGGAACTGTGTTCGGAGGCTGGCTTAATAGTACTGACTGAATCCAGGAGATGGGCAGTGTTAGGCTCTGCCTTTAGCATGAGAGGAAATTAAAGCTGGGATAACAATTTGTTCAAATGTGCACACTGCGGATTCTGGGTGGGGCACCCACGTTCTGACTCATGCTCATCTCTTGGATTTCCCAGTGCTTGGCTAAGTATAGAAAAGCATGTTTTGGAGGGATCTGCCTCCTAAATAAGTCCTTTCTCTGGAAATTGTAAAATGTGCTGCCAGAGTGGTGGATGAAAAAATGAAATTTGGGTTAGGTTCTTTACATTTTTCTGCGTAGCTGGGTTATTTCCTAGTTTTTACTTTACTATACAGTATAGGAAATAAATTCATTGGTGCCATAAAATCCTGGCATACAAAATACATAGGTGAATTTTAAGTCAAAGGAAGGGTAGCAGAAACTTTTAAATACTGTAAATCTGTGGCTAGCTTGTTAAATAATAATATTTCCATAATTTTGTTTAGCTGTATTTAGCTCGTAGTCTAAGATTCCTTCATGCCTTTGCGAAAATGAATTGTAGTCTGACACATTTCTGTGCCTTGTTTGTGGTGTGGGCAGCGCTGAATCTCGGAGATTCTCAGGGCAATCTTTCTCTTAATGCCAAGGAAGAGAATAGGGAAGAAAGAAGCCTACTGGGAGCCCAGCTCCATCTTCTATTTGGGATCTACTTGCTTTGTTTCCTGGGGAGGACGCTAAAGCAGCATTTTCTAGATTGCATTCCAAGTGAGGTGTGTGTGTGTGTGTGTGTGTGTGTGTGTGTCTGTGTTTAAGATGGAGTCTCCTCTGTCGCCCAGGCTGGAGTGCAGTGGCGCGATCTCCGCTCACTGCAATCTTGCAACCTCCACTGCTCGCGTTCAAGCGATTCTGTCGCCTCAACCTCCCAAGTAGCTGGGACTACAGGCACGCGCCACCACGCCGGCTAATTTTTGTATTTTTTGGTAGAGATAGGGTTTCACCATATTGGCCAGGCTGGTCTCGAACTCCTGGCCTCAAGTGATCCACCTGCCTCGGCCTCCCAAAGTGCTGGGATTACACGCATGAGCCACCGCACCCGGCCAGAAATGCAGCATTCTTATCTTCCCTATTCTCAAGCTTAACAGTTTGAAGAGTGTGCACATGTTTTAAATACTCTGAGAAGTGTTGTGTCTCTGTATAGTTTTGTTTATTTTAGCACTTCTCAAACTTACTTGATAATAAAACCTATTCTGTTTGGAACACCTTTGATCATCCTGTAGAACATGAATATTCCACAAAATACAATTTGGGAAATATTGTGCTACAATATCATTTAAATACATGAAAATTTTCCAAAATAGGTGAAGCTTTTTCAATATGTACATCTATCCACGTGACAGAAATTATGCTATTTAAAATTGTCAGAGATTATCTAGTGACATGGGAAAACTGCTTACAATATAACGTTAACTGAAAAAAACAGCATAGAAAATTATATCCAAAGATTCTAATTTTGTTTAAAAAATACTTAATATGCATATGAAAGAAAAACTATAGGAAGTATGTATGCCTAGACCTCAATTGTGGTTGTTCTTTGGCAGTGGGATTGCAGAGTAACATGTATTTTCTTTTAATACTAGAAATTTCCGGTCGGGTGCATTGGCTCACCTGTAATCCCAGCACTTTGGGAGGCTGAGGCGGGCTGATCACTTGAGGGCAGGAGTTTGAGACCAGCCTGGCCAACATGTTGAAACTGCGTCTTTATAGCCGGGTGTGGTGGTGTGCGTCTGTAGTCCCAGCTACTTGGGAGGCTGAGGCAGGAGAATCGCGTGAACCCGGGAGGCAGAGGTTGCAGTGAGCTGAGATTGCGCTCCTGCTCTCCAGCCTGGGCGGCAGATTGAGAACTGGTCTCAAAAAAAAAAAAAGAAATTTCCAAATTGTCTGGAATAAGTATATTAAATTTATTTTTAAAAAGGTTATTAAAAACTATAAGAAAATTTTGTTTGCTTTCATCTGAAATGTAATGTTCCTCATGTTAAATCTTGTTCTGCAGATCCATTTAGCAAACTCATTATTCTTCAGAGTGCAAAGGACACTCAGTAAACATTTCTGAGATATAGAGACTTAGAAGAGAAGCCAGCTCCTAAAAAGCTAGGCTGGTTGGGCAATGAGATCTCTGTGCACAAATTTTTAAAAGACATCCACAAAAGGTAGAAGTATAGAAACAAAAACAGTGGACTGTGCTTCTAAGAAAAGTAACAGCATAACTTCTACCCCAGAAGACGTAGGCCTTGCAGAAGATGCTTTTGAGGTATTACTGAAAACAGTAAGGTCATTAAGGAAAGCTGCATGTATAACAGAAAGGAGATCTCAATTCCTGCTTTGTTTCTATCTTCTTAAGAACTTAGGGAAAAGTCACCTTTAGAAAGAGGAGATGGAAGGCTGGGTAGGAGAAGAGCTTCTGTGAGCCAGGCCTCGATTTGGTATGAAGAACTGACAGTTACATTCAAACTTGGGATGATGTGGAGGGTATCCAAGAAGCTTGTGGGAGTAGGTGATTTTTCAGATCCCTTTTGAGTTAGGTTATTAGATAAAATTGTTTTTATATGAAGCTATTTTAAGAAACCTTTTCCTCTGATGGATGCTGAGATACTGAAAAAAAAAAAAAAAAGAAAGAAATGTTGAGTCACTGCAACCCAATAGGGCACAGTGGAAAGAGGTTTTGGAATCAGTTTGATTCTGCACTCTGCCCTTATTAGCTGCATGGTTTAGGACAAAATATATAATGTCTTTGAAAGTCATTTTCCTCATGTACCAGGCCTGGCACATAATTGAGCTTAGTTCTCCCTTAATGTCACTTCCAATGTAGGGTGCTCACTTAAGCCAGTGTCTGCCAAGCCTCAGTGGGTGGTTCAGTGGCCCTAGTTCTCCAAACAGCATTTTAATTATCTATCCCATTATTTTTCTCTTCTCTTTTTCTAACCTTATTTCTGTTTCCTTTTCTTCCCTACCCCCACTATACACACGTACAACTCATATCTTTGAAAGAAGTATAGTTTTTATGGTATTCAAAAAGTTTCTAGAATAATTTATATGTGATGGAGGATGCATATATTTTTCAGAATCTCCAGAATCTGGTCTCCAGGAACATTATTCTAATCTGTGTATGGAAAAATCCCAGAAAATTAATCCTTTTATATTGCGTATACTCCAAGAAGTGGATGAAGAAATTAAAAAGGGGTAAGAAAGACAAATACTTGATTACATTAATAGTGTTTGCTTATATTCATGTGTGTGAAAATCCTAACATATTGAGTGATTTTATAGCCATTTGAAAATGCTTGGTAAAATGGATATACCATTTGATTCAGGTAAGTAAGCAGACGAGCAACACTGTTAGTAGGTCTTAGAGGTGGTATAGCATTCAGGAAAGAGCACTAGACCGGGAGTACCCAAGCTTGGGCTCCAGAGTGATCTTTAACTTCTGTGGGCGGAGTGAATCTTTTTTGTGTGTGTGTGGGCGGGGTGAATCTTTTTTTTTTTTTTTTTTTTTTTGAGTTTGTCTTTCTGTCTTTCTTGCTAGAGTGCAGTGGCATGATCTTGGCTCACTGCAAACTCTGCCTCCTGGGTTCAAGCAGTTCTCCTCTCTCAGTCTCCTGAGTAGCTGGGATTATAGGCGCC